ATATAGTGCTCTGTGAACACAAATTAGTTAGCATAAATCAGTTAAATAACGAAAAATTAGGTGTCTATTTACTTGTGACCACTCAGTGTATATCTTGACGTTACTTTCATATTTATTTGTAGGGTAAATAAGTTTATTTTCAACAGCTAACTTTAAGTAGAATAACGTGTCATCATTTAATATAAAATATTTCAATTTTTAGTTCATTTGTATTAAAATAACAACGGTAAGTCTTCATATTAATTATTATTTGTGGATTACTAAACATAGACGTAAAAGTAAAAAAAAAGAAACAAATCAGAGTATTTTGATATATCTGTAAATACGAACTGATGTAATTAAAAAAAGATGTTAATTTTCAGGGCTATCTGTGTGTGTTCTTTTATTCTGGCCATCCAGTGGCACAGCGGTATGTCTGCGGACTTACAACGCAAGAAACCGGGTTTCGATACCCGTGGTGGGCAGAGAACAGATAGCCCAATGTGTAGTTTTGTGCAATGTTTCTTCCCACAAAGTAGAAATGCATCGAACAATATCGTCTTTAATTAAGACCTGTTCAAACCTCCGATAACAAGACAGGATCACGGCCGGAGACTTCGTTGCTCTACCGTCTTATAAACTGAACAACCGTTCGACAACTAGCGACCGCAGATCGTCAGCCTCGACAAGAAATCTTTTGTTTTCCCGATAGCCATCGCGGCCTAGGGATGTATTCCCACGGTGACAGGCTTATTGAACTTTATAAGAGCTTTCTATTTTAGACAGTACGGTTAGGCTACCGCACAAAAACTATAATTAATCTTCTTTTCTAATTAGTAACACGCGCGTGCACAGTTAAATTGCTTCTCCAAAGATATAAAAATCTGACTTTCTGTTACGATATAATATGAAAAAAAAGTCCAATTATACATTAAAATGTAACCTGACATACCTTTTCTTCTTACTGAAAACCGAAAAGTATTTGTTTGTTATTTCATATCACAGAATACAAATACCTGATGTGTAAAAGAAAGGAATAAAAACAAATCTAGCTGGCATGTACTTGTTTGGGAAATTTATCTTTATAGTTGCTAGGCGCAAAGCCAACCAGTGAGCTAGCTGTACTCTGGCCACCGCTAGGATTGTTTTCTCTACTGTTATATAAACCTTTGACTATACCAGATGTACTTGCACAGGTGATCCTAAAGTGTTCTGTTTCAAGAGTAAATAAAACCAAAATTAAGAGTAAAACTTATTTTTATTTCTTGCTTTTGAAGTTTATATGTCATGCTGTGTTGTAGCCTACAGTATACATAATTCTTCTAGTGATTCATGGCATGTGCATGTTTTACAGTACTAATTACAATGTTAAGTATCCCTTATGTGACGTCATTTTAGTGTCTACTGACTAACTGACTGACAGACAAGACATTACTGTACAATGGTGCGAGTGGTTAAAACAAGTGATCCCTCCAGGCGGGCGTCGGCCGCCTTTCGGGGAAATTAACACAAATACCCGTAAGTATTCATAGAGTCGATCAGGTTCTTTTAACAATTCAGCTAACTTAACTCTAGAATTATTTTCTGTATCAATATTCTATAAGCCTTTCGTTATATTAACACAACTAAACGTAATTATACATTGAATCGATCATTTTCTTTTGATGAATCATCCTTATCACTATTTTTTTTAACCTGACTGGAGCTCAGTAAATGTAAAAGTTTTGTGGAATATATTTGCGTTATGTTTCTGAAGGAAGAACTGTGCGACGCAAAGTGCATGTGTGATAGTTTGAAACTGTTTAAAAGTGCCTTACTAGTGAATTCAATCCTTTATCTCAGTAAAAAACCTGATTGTAGTAGTAGCTTCATTGGATGTTTATTCTATTTAAAATTACGTGAAAAAAATAACTCTTCACATTATTTTATTTGACGAAATATGTG